GGTGAATAAATTAATCAAGAAAGGAAGAAATTATCGCAAAGATGTTAATTATGTATAAATATCACTATATTTGCATGTGCTTTCGACGTATTATAAGGCGTCGTCGCATCACTGCCTGCATTGCTGCATTTTTAGACAACACATGTTATTTCTACCAATCACTCCATGACCAAGTCTCAGGAGGCTTCTATGCAATAACAGGGATGTTGCCTCCATACTATAGAAGTCTGGGGTATATTCTATCCCATTAGAAAACATATCTGGCATTTGCACCCACTACATAGGAGCAACAACTAGAATGTTATCTTGCCACATCTCTGAACATCAACATTCCATCAGGACAGGCAGGTGTGACACTGAGCTAGCTAGGATGGTGTTACAACAATAACATACCCAACTGTGGGACCATGTGGCAATGCTCAGGTATTGTGATCAGAGGAGCCTGGTATATGTTTGGGAGGCCTTCCTTACTGTATTATCAAATCCATGCAACTCCCCCATGCTTGAGTTGCCTGCAATGTGGGTCAGCCTGTATAAAAGATTAAAACATCGTCTCTAGCTCCACTCTCAGGGCTTATTCAACACATCATGGTGCATGTGCATTGTCATCATGCACGCACCATTAATTCAAATTCTTTATGTTTTTATTCTAAATTTGGTTTGTTCTAAAGAACTAATGCTATTAGTCTTAATTCAAAATGTTTGTTCGAAAGATTTATTTGAGTTTGTGTTCTGCCTGAGGATGACGCCTTATAATATGTTGAAAGCACTTGCAAATATAGCAATATTTATATGTAATTAACACCTTTGTTATAATTTCTTCCTTTCACGCTTAAACAAAAGATTGACGTGATATCCAACCCTTGAATTCAATTAACTTACAAGGTGAATAAATTAAGTTGAGTAACCACAATGGCTAGATCACCTTTATTAATGCCAGTTATAATCTATTCTGATCATTAATTTTTGTCATTTTCAATATGTTTCACATATTTAGTATCAGAGTTCTGTTGTTCAACAGAAAATTCTTAGATACAAAAACTCATATCTTTACATTCAGATTTTCGTATAAAATTTCAAAATACAAGTTCTCGCAAGTCAACTTTTGAAAAGAACAGCCATTTTCTAAATATCTAATTTTTCTTTTTTCTTATAAAATGTTTCAATTACAATTGCTTATTATTTTTAACAGATTCACAGACATATATAAAAATTTTGAGTTGTGATTCTCAAAATTAATAATGCTAACTTGTCAAAAATTTCTTTTAATATTTTCTAAATTTCACTAAATATTTTCTTTAACTTAGATTATTAAGCATACATATTACTAGTCTAAAATATTTGTATAATTTCAATAAAAATATTCTGTAGTTATTTTTGAATTACATCAAATTATTTTAAATTAACTGGCCAATCAATCAGATTATTTATTTTAAATTCTTTTAAATGATGATTATTAAATGTAGTAATATAAAACTTTTAAAATTTGTTATTAATTCTTATTTTCAATTCCTAAAAACTGATAAAAATATCTTGTAGTAGAAAATTAAAGAATAGCAAAAAAACAAATAAATTATGATCTTTATCTGACATATTGAATTTAACTAAAGAATAGTAGAATAACAGTAAATTATATATTTATAAAAATTAAAAAATATATATATTTATAGAAAATAATGTACAAAACAAAAAAAATGTTACATTGTCATAAATAAAATAATTTACACTAAAAATAAGTGTAAATTATTTTATTTATGAAGATGTATCATTTTTATCTGGAATTTTATCAACTTTAATATTCAAATTAATAAAAATCCAAGTATATTTCATTTTAGAAAATAATGAATTACATTTTCTAAATCTAGAGTTTAAGTTACTTAAATTTTTCTAAAAGTCAAGTTCATCTTTTACTTGCTTTTCTGAATTCTAAAATTATAATCAAATGTTTAATCAATTATTCTAGACATTACTGTTGAATGTCTACAATAAATTCTTAATAATTCTAATGTAAAATATAATACTTCAAATTTATAGATATGCATTAAGTGTTTTTTTTAAAAAGAATCTTTCATACCATTGAACACCACTACCTGTAGGTAACATTTTATATACTCTTAAAATATCTCCCCTAGCATTTAAAGATTCAGTTCCACTTTCAAAAGGAAAGTCTAAAGAAACATCTATATGTGTTTCTATTCCAGGAAACTTTTGATTTTTATCATGAACATAATCAGTTTGACGAAATTTCTCTGGTAATAACTGATCTTCTAATAACTTGTGTGTCATTTTTCCTTCAAATTTGACATCCCATTTCTGAATATCAAAATTATCATTTTGTGATGAATCCCATCTTCCAATCTTAAAAAGTAATTTTTTACATTAATTAAAAAGAATCATCCAAAAGTCTAATATGAAAGTAAAATTTTAAAAAACTATACTCACACAAGATTCTCCATTTTCATTCAATGGAATCATCTTTATTCTTGATAACGTAAGTGTCCATAAGTGTTTAAAATCATTTGAATCTCTTTCAAAATGCATATTCCATGAATATTGTGGAATTTCTATATCAAATGTATGAATATCTCTTTGATGATCTCTGTTTCCACTTTTCCAGCCATTATATGAAACATTCATAAAAGTCTATTTTGAGAATACAATAATATTTAACAAACTATGAATTTATTTTAATTTTTTTCAAGTATAAATTCATAATCATTATTATACTTACTAAACAGTTGCCAGATAATTTTTCTGTTACAGTTGAATTTGTATTAATTTTATAACGACCAGGCATTTGAATTCTGTGAGTAAGTACTTGCAAAGTTCTTTTGGGAGTTTCAATTATACTTACAATGTCATGAATCATTTGCCCATGTCCAATCTTTGACATCTCTAAATTTGTTTCAAACTTTATCCAAGCTTTTTTATCTGATTCCCAAAATGTACTGGGTAGAATATTAGATGGCCAATTCCAGTAGCCTTGCAAACTAAAATTTAAAATTAATTTTTATTTTATTTAAATATGAATGCAATATGTTATTATTATTTACAAGATGCAAACAATAATAAAAACAAAGAATTCTATTTATAATAAATAATCTCACTTTTCAATAGATAAAAGTGCTTCCACTTTTGTTGTATGATTTTGAACATTCATTTTTGATATCCATTGGTAAGTGTTATAAGGAGTTCTCAAATCAATAGTTCTTTCTCGTATTTTAGCTATAAATTCTTTGGTTGCATGCCCTCTTCCTTTTGGTATTATTTTTGATTCTATCTTTTCTTTTAACTAAAATAATAATAATAATTAAAAATACAAAATTAAATGTTTAATTTGTTTATATAATTGTAATCTTAATAGCATCAAGAAATTTTTAATGTAAAAGATTTGATACTGTCCTGAAATTCTGTATAATTTTATTACTTTATACTATTGAAGATTGTTAATATATTAACATTACAAGAATAATAATTTTTTAATATAAATGTTTAAATACATAAAAATTTATTCATATAACAAAATTAAAAATTTTAAATTACTAACATTATAATTCATTTCATATTTCTTATTTTTACTGAAATGTAAAATCCAATAATGCTTTATTCCAGTTTCATCTTCATCTTCATCATTAATTATAGAACGTTTTGCAGATATTGTCAAATCTGGTAATTCTGGTATGATTACTTCAAACTGGCCTTCTTTTGTTTCCATATTAAAGTTAAAATCAACATTTGTTTCCCTAGTATACTTTGTGCCTGAAAAAAATTTTATTAATTATAATTATTTCATAATCTAAATCAGTGTTTCACAAAGTGTTTCCCATGTATATCCTTGGGGTATATGGCAATTTTTAGCTACATACTACTGACAGAATCATCATTAAGAAAAAAATATTTTAGTAACTAATTGTTTTAAAATGTATATATTTTCCAATAAATTATATATATCATACAAGTTCTTCTACTCAATTGCTACATTTGGGTAGTTTACAAACTCTTTTTTGACAAGTCCTTGTCAAAAAAGAGTTTGTACTAAGTAAAAAGAGTAACTTAGTACTTATGAAAATTTAAGGATGAGTACACAGATGTCAAAACTTTGGAAAACACTGATCTAACAAAATGTTTGTTCGAAAGATTTATTTGAGTTTGTGTTCTGCCTGAGGATGACGCCTTATAATATGTTGAAAGCACTTGCAAATATAGCAATATTTATATGTAATTAACACCTTTGTTATAATTTCTTCCTTTCACGCTTAAACAAAAGATTGACGTGATATCCAACCCTTGAATTCAATTAACTTACAAGGTGAATAAATTAAGTTGAGTAACCACAATGGCTAGATCACCTTTATTAATGCCAGTTATAATCTATTCTGATCATTAATTTTTGTCATTTTCAATATGTTTCACATATTTAGTATCAGAGTTCTGTTGTTCAACAGAAAATTCTTAGATACAAAAACTCATATCTTTACATTCAGATTTTCGTATAAAATTTCAAAATACAAGTTCTCGCAAGTCAACTTTTGAAAAGNATAAATATTTCAAAGACTTTGTTCGCTATCCGAATTGTTCGTTAACCGATCACCCACTGTACTTTGTTTTTTGATGTTAACAATTTAATAACTCTAAAAATGAATACACTTTAATCCTTTTACAAGTACTTTCAACAAATATTTCATATCTGTCATTTTTAAGTGAAAATTCAAAATTGAACAGATTGTTACAATTTCAAATTTTCACCTGAAGATGAAAAATGTAAAATAGTGATCAAAAGGTAATTTAATAACTTTAAAAGCTAACACACTTTAACTCTCACAAGTAATGTTAGAGTTAAAGTGTGTTAGCTTTTAAAGTTATTAAATTATTAACATTGAAAAACAGAGTTATTTTATTGTATATAATATATTTGATGTTGAGTGCCAAAGTACAGTACATCTAAGTTAAGAACCACATAATAAATAAATATGAAATATATAAAAAAATTAACATATTACCTCAGAAAGACTTTGCCATTGAAACCAATGTGGTCCTGAATAATGAAACTTAACTACATATTCATCATGGGAGGCAACATTAACTTTTATTGCTTCAACAATTCCATCTGGAAGGTTTTCTAATGCTTCAGTCATATATTCGTGAATTCCTATTTGATTTATCGCCTGCCCTATAAAAGATTTAATAAATTTAACAAGTCACACACTTATTTTTTATAAATTTTTCAAATCTTAAATTTGGTAATAAACTGCCAGACCTGTCAACAGTGCTCAGATGATAGTTATGAAGTGCCCCCTACCAATTGCCACTCTGTAAAAATGACAACCACCTTAAGTCACGGTTCCATTGGTGAAGAATCACATATAGAGTATTCAGGATGCCTCAGGTTAAATATATTTATACAATAATAATAGAAAATTTATGTTAGTTGTAAAATAAGAATTTCAAAATAAGGAATCATAAAGTAAGGATGTGATGTATAACATGTATCAACTGAATATAAATATATATTGATATTTAAAAAGTGATATGATTTTTGTCCAATAAGCCATCAATTTTAATTTTCATTACCATAATGACATTGATATCAATAAGTATAATGTTTAGTATATATTATAATGTATGCACACTATTGTAAAGTTATTTTTTACTTAAACTTTACATTAGTTTTTGCTTTGTTATGATTATTTACATAAATATTTCTTATAAAATATTCTTGAAAAAATAATTACTAAATCATTTTACATTTTCTCTATTAGACCATACAATTATACACAGAATGTGATCTAATGGAGAAAATATTATGTAATTCTATGTGATTATGAACTACAGCTCTTAATCATGTACAACCACATATACAAAAAAAAATACAGTGGGTGATTGGTTAACGAACATAATCCGTTCCAAGACTTTGTTCGCTATCCGAATTGTTCGTTAACCGATTATCGATTTACCATAGGTTTTAATGGGAATTTAATTAATTCGTTCTGGAGACCCCTAAAAATAAAAAATATATACTTTCTTACTACGTTTATTTATATGTAATAATAAAAATACATACGTACACAGTCTTGCATTTTTATTAGTCATGTTTTTTTCCGTTTGAAAGGGTTAAAGAATCTGTCTAATGTCGATTGCTTTT